GTCCTCTCTTCTTGCTTATCAAAATACTGCTTTCATCATTTTGCGACGTGGCGGCAGTGTGCACATCTGTAATACATCTCTTATCATTGCCTCAGGAGCTATTTAAGCTCTGTGTATTTTGTGTGAAGGCCCCAGACTAGCTTATATCATCACAGACTCTCCCTCAGCATCATTTTCTTTTTTTTTAATGACGTTTGCAAAAAAAGCAGCTTCAAATGTTCCCGGCCTGGCACTCGGCAAAAAGGGAAGATGTGCAATGGAGTTCACAGGCGCAGCCGAATATTTTGGAGGGATAAATTAGCAGCTTGGTTCTTTGGTGCCATGCCAAGACTTCTGGGAAGTAATCCAGCACCTTGGAAAGACAAAGATTTGGATGCCATGTTGGATCCACTGTAATTTGAGGTTAATTGAATTGAAAATTCCCCCCTTTCTCACCCAACAAAAAAATAAATTGTCTGTAGAGAATTAAGAACTGAAGGGCTATATAGAAAATATAGCATGTGTTTAATGTTTTATGCAACTGTTTTCTGAATCAAAATAAACAGTGGTAAATTGTCATCAAATGTCTATATTTCCCTCGATGAATACTCGTGGAGCACCACTTGCCAAACTGCACTGTCTTCTTCTCTGCTTAGTTTTAGTGTTTGTGATTGAATTCTAATTAATGGCTCAGAGGAAGATGCAACGCATTCCTGTAGCAGAAACAGATGGAGGGTAGCGAATGTTCGGCTGTTTGGTAAATGGGGTCTGCGGAAATGATCCAGGCATCGATGATGTCTGAGCCCTCATCATGTCCTGGACTTCACATTCTAATAATGACTAATGTGTTTGCAGACATCAGCCTGTTCTCGTTAGGGTGATTTATTGCCTCGCCAATTTTCAGTAAACCAGAAGAGCCATATTCCAATTTATTCAGGTCAAATTAACCATTCATAATTAGAAGCAGTAACCTTCCCCGCTCCCTTCTACTTCTCTGAATGTGCTGTACATGTAATGCAAATGTTTATTGTTTAATCTCACTGACTATCATTAGGAAGGTTATGTAAGAATCATTCCATGCAGGGCAAAAGCTTAGCCTGAATCAATCTTCTAATGGTTAATTGCCAATGGGCTGATTTATTGCTGTGTTATGAAGGTGAAGGCTCACCCTTTCCCTCTAAGGGTGGCAGCGACCTTATGGAAACCCCATGGCTTGTTTCATTGTAAAAACCCTGCAGTACATATTAATTATGTGATGACTTACTTTAATATACAATAAGTAGAGATTTGTCAATTATAGGTGAATTACTTTATTTTAATTGACTTATTGATGTTACTTTGTTTTTTCTGGGATGATGCATAATAAGTAACTAATAAGTTTCCGATGTGCCATATTTAGCTAAATCGATGTAGTTCAGTCAGCAGTCAGGGCAGGTTGATATTGTAAGTTAATACAGAAAATATCACTAAAATATAAGGATACAGTCTAAAGTTTATAACACGTTACAAAAAACATAAACTGTAAAACAGTCACATAGGAGCATATGGTCATTACTTCAATAAATGAGAATGAACAAAGGGTAACAGAACATCAAATGCAAATAATGTTTATACATTATATTATGCTAAATAGTAATAATCCATTAAATATCTATTCAAATTGGCGGGGCCATGAATTAAAGGGACACAGTTCCTATAATTTTCATCTGATTGATGTGAACACCCTCAAATCAAAGCTGAAAATAAACACTTTATCTTATTGTTTCAGCATTCTGTCCATCTTCTTTTCTGCTGCACTGTATGTTAATGTCACAAGCAAATTTAATTATGAATTTGGTAAACAAGCCATCCCTTGGCTTCAAATCAAACCCTCTGGCAGTAACGTTAGCACATGTAACATGAGTTAATTTGAGCTAGACCACTTCAGGCAGGCTGCATAAATGGGGCTTTCAGGATTAACCAGGAGAGGCCTATGTGACAGTTTGATAGACAGCACTCTTCACCCCAGTTTTGATTACTGCTCTCTTCTAATTTGGTTTACTCTGCTTGAATAATGTCTGGTCAGATCTGGTCTTGCCCAAACACTCTGGCTTGTCCGGGGGAAGTAACGGTGGGTTTTGATGCTGTTTGACTTAAGGAGATGGGCTGTCATTTACTCAGCCTCATTAAAAAATAAATCACAGGAGAGAGAACAGAATGAGGGATGGAGAGAGAGTGAGAGGGCAGAGACAGATCTGAGGACCTGCTGGCTTCCGATTTGTTGGTTTTGGCTGGTCGTGCTTCAATGTCTAAGTTGTCCGTTGGGATCAGGAGTGTCTCCCTGATGCCAAACAGCATCAAAACAGAAGGACAGGCTAAATGAGGGAGGGAAAATGAAGAGAAGGGACAAAGGATGGACAAAAATAAAAGCAAGAATAAAGCAGGAAGGAACAACAAGAGTGCAGAGATGAAGACATCATGTCAGTCATTTTAGCAGTTGCAGTTTGTCCTGTGAAGGATTGAAAGGGCTGCTGCTTTTCCTCCACCCCCTTCTCTGATATTCAGAATCCAATTAGTGGTTGTGTTGGAGCGGGTTTTCTCAGTGACAGTGGCCCATTTGTAAGAACTGCTATCAATGAGGAACACTGACAGAGGTAATATTTTATTAATGTCTTCCTTTATTCTGAAAATAATGGCCCTTTTTGTCAGGCCTTACAAACTTTTATTATGTTGAAGTTTAGAGACGGATGCAGAGAAAAAAAACAAAAAAAACACAGCCAACAGGAAGATCAAAACTATTAACTAGTCGTATTGTTGAAATTCCACTGATGGACTGCCAATCATAAAGTGAAAGTATAAACCTTTTTGGATCCAAATTTATTTACAAGGTTATGGCTCCTGAAAAAGTGCGCAATCGTAGTATGATGATCAAGAACAATAACCAGTGGCATTAGTCGGCAAAACAAGAGATGGCCTGAAAGCTCTTTTAATGGTGGTTAATTCTTGACATCATCTCCTGACAGTCGCATCAGTACATTCACACAGGACTGGAACATGTTACTACCAGTTGACTCATCATGAGCCCCATCCCCTTTTCCTCTGTGATCCAGTAACAGTTGAGCAAACCTCGGGTAACCTCTTCTTTCCTGTACTTAGATGTGCAATGCTTGGCTTTTCAATGTTGAAAACCAAATTTTGAAGATAGTTAATAAAATAAAAGCAGCATATAGTCACATCTTAAGTTAGTTAATATTAACCTCGTAAGAGCAGTACTGTTGTACTGTGTACAAGCTGAAGATAATAAACTACTCGTATGGTGTTCAAGTCACTAAATGCAACTGCATGACTCTCTCAGTGGCATCTGCTCATTCTCCATCCTTCTAAAAGATGTAGAGTAGTACTGGCTGTTGTCTAACAGTGACATTTGGACTAATGTTTGTGAGGCAGTTTTCATGTGTGATGTAGACAAAAAAAATAAAATGAAACCGTTTGTGTTCCAGGAGAGAGACTGAATAAACACCACTGCTGAGCCATGTCTCACTGGTGGAAATCTGATGCCATCTTATTTTTCACATGCATCTGTTGTGTGTCTACTCAATGTGGAAACATTATATCTGGAACTTTTCTTGGCCAGTTGGTTTGTACCATATGGTATTTTATCAAGACTTCCTCCAATCAAGATGGCATTAAATTCAAATGAATTTCTGCAACATGTTGAAGATTGAAACAGAAGAAACGGGATGGATGATACCAGACAGATGCCTTTATACACAAGATAGATGGAGAGATAGTTTCATAGATAGATAATGAAGGGACTGAAAGAAAATGCAGAATTGGAGTTTTGCTAACCTTTTTCCAATCTATAATATTTCTTATTGGATATTTAATTCATGGCCTTATCCCAGTGAAAATGTACTTTCAAGAAGTTTTTAAAGTGCTTATACCACTCAGTCCGGGAGCTGGACCAGCAATGATAATCTGTTTCATGGGGTTTTTCTGTGATGGTTGACAGTGTTTTCGGCTTTAGAGACACAGTGACAGTAGACAGACAGCGAATGAAACATGGCCTTGAGTCTGGCTCCATTTTTTTTTTATTGACCTGTCAGAACTGACTTGACGTTTGAGCAGAAAGATTTACAGGGTCCATTTAGGCCAGGATTGATTTCTGTCACTGGCAGCTTTGAGAAAAGATGTGTATGTATAATCATCTCTTTGATTGATGAATGCTTTGTTTCATTTTTAGATTTGCCTTTTCTTTCTGTATCTTTATATTTTTTCACCTTCCAGTATTCTAGTATATTTGCTGTTTTGACAAAAGAAGCTGACTGCTTTGTTGACATCTTTCACTGTGTTGAGATTTACTGCTTCGGTGCAGTTTGAGAAAGACTCAATCAGTTTTGATCTGAAGTTTTAAATAGTTTATTTTAATCTTGCATTGTATGATTTACTCACTGACACTGAAGTGAACAGATTACGAGAGGATGCAGTCTCTGTAATTCCCTTGTTTGGAATTATGAATGTTGTTTGGTGAAAAGTTGCTCATCATTGCAATTTGAGAAGAAATGCATTTTTTTTTTTTTTTTTTTGCCAAAAGGCTTTATGACTGCACTAGGAGGGGCTGATTTGATTCCTTTTTCATTCCTCACAGTTGGATTCTTTCTCTTCAGGGTAACATTCTGTCTAGTGTCTGCAGTAAACATATTAAAAAATGTCTATGGGTGCAGAAAAGTAAGTGGAAATATAAAGTTGATCTCAGTTTGGGTGAAAGTGTGTTCTGATGTAATGGCCTTAAGGGAAACATTTCAGTCTGGAGCATGTGGCATAGGCAGATGTCTTGTCTTGATGGTGGCTGTTAATGGTTTAGTTTTCTTTTTATCTATTTTGTAAGAGAACATTTTTGTGGACAATTCATGCTTTCATGTCAGAACCTAATTTACCTATTGTGCCCTTTTAGTGGCATCAATACCATTTTATATTATTCTGATGCATTCACCATTTTGATTATTGAATGATTACTTCTCTCTCTGTTTCCAACTCTGCAGAGCACTTAAAGGTGGCACTAGAGGAGTACATGGTGCGGTTGCCGAAGGTTCGCATCCTGAGGACCAAGAAGAGGGAGGGGCTGATCAGGACTCGTCTGCTGGGAGCCGCCGCTGCTAAAGGAGAAGTCATCACCTTCTTAGACTCCCACTGCGAGGCCAACATCAACTGGCTGCCTCCATTGCTGGGTGAGGAACAAACAGACACAACTCATCAGCATTACATGTTCTTTCCTCCTTATACAATCTTTATTCTTATCTTATTATACCTTATTTAAATAATCAAATAATAATCAAAGAACTGGTTAAAGCCTACCAAATTATTTCAAACAAAATGAAACATGCCTCACGTATAGAGATTTGAATTACACATACAATTTTTTTAAAATGTTAAAAATGAGACGACAGGGTTCTCAGATGGTGAATCCAGTAGTGTTTCCTCCTGGTAAGTAAACCTCTAAGTTACCTCCTCTAGGGGGAAGTGATACCTTCTCAGTCCCAATATATCTCAGAGAGGAAATAGGATGATTGAGTTTAACAAAATACACTTCTACTGTATAACTCATGTTTTTGCGTCTAATAGTGCTTTTGTGTTCAGCAATATTGAGTGCCCTACTCATCTTTTCAACTTAAAATTTCCACAAGGTCAAGTGATAAGACAAATGACTGGTTAGTTTGACATGAAATCATTCTGAAAGTGATCTTTGTACTTATGTGAGGGTGTTTAAAACTGTTACAACAAGTATAGTAACACTGGCTACGAACGCAGCAGCGGTTGTCTTCAGGAGTAGGTGCTCAGTACTATCATAAAGTGGTACTGATAGAGGAGAGGGTAAATATTAATGTACTATCTCAGGTTCTTTTATATATCATAACCGGTTGTTCTTTTAATACATTGAGTTGACAATCAGATTCAAGTATATGCCAATGTTTTTTCCGTTATCTGTTCAGCACCCTTAGAATTCGCATTAACTGTCTACCAACCCGCCTGCCTTCCTCTGTGTCTCTTAGACCGAATCGCGCAAAACAGGAAAACCATTGTGTGTCCGATGATCGACGTGATCGACCATGACAACTTCGGCTACGAGACGCAGGCAGGAGACGCCATGCGAGGGGCGTTTGACTGGGAAATGTACTACAAACGGATACCCATCCCTACAGAGCTACAAAAGGACGACCCCAGTGAACCCTTTGAGTAAGTGCAGTTATTTTTGACACATTTGACATTTGCTAGACGACTTTATCCCAATTATCCTACTGTGCCACGAGTGCATACATCTGTGACACGAGAGGCCTCGGTGTGGGTCGAAACCCTTCAACTGGGTGTGTTGGCGCCGCGCTCTTTTGAATGAGCTACACAGGACCTTGCAACCCTCATTATTCAACAAGGGGTTTTCTATGTGTACTTTCTCTTTGTCAGCCCTGCCTTGCATCCACATTCATACACACATCATCTTTTAGACTTGCGTGCTAGGGTAGACAGACGCAAAATGTTTTTCAGCTTTACTCACCTTAGTGTGGATATAATCTACAGTAAGTGACAATAGGCTTCATCTCTTGGGCAACAACAGCTGAGAACATCAGATCCCATGCAAATACTGTATGTCTGTAATGTGTATAGTGACAGATCCACCACAAATTAACAACCATATTTAACACAAAGATCATGTTATATTATTATATTATATAGTATTAATCCTGTGTTAATTGGAAATGTTGTATTGGGTCGTGTACTTTTTAACAAGGGTTCCTTGGTTCTGTACACATTTCTTTCAGTTTGTTCTTCCTCATTGCCACTGAAGTATAGTCGTAAGATGAGGATACAAATATTGTGTTATTATTTTGCACAATTGTAGATTCACAGAAAATGATAAGCGAGTAATTTATTGAGCCAAATGCCAAACTTTTGTTGGTTCCAGCTCCTCAAATGTGAGGATTTTCTGCATTTCTGTTTTTTATTATTGTAAACTGAATATTTTAGGGTTCGGGACTGTTGGTTGGACACAATATGATATTTGATTTTGTCAACTTTGATTTGGGGAACTGTGATTTGAATTATTCACAGTTTGTGACGTTCTGTGGACTAAATAATGAACCAAATAATTGGAAAATGATTTAATATAAACTGATAATGAGACATTGCACCCTTGTTTTCTTGTTGGTCCTTGGAAAGTTATTATTGAATTTAACAAACAAAGACAAACCGCAGATACACAAGTATATCACAATATAACATCAGATCCCCAGGTAATACCACCCCAGTGCAAACAGGTCTGATAGCTTTCGACCTTCCTCAACACCCAGCAGCACAGATAGGTAACCTTTAAGTAATGAAAGCCAGAATAAATAAACTCTACCCAGAGACACACTTTGCTGTTTGTAAAGCCAAATAACTGCATGTGATGCCAGACACTCCATTTGTAAGCCTTGAGGGATTAGTTAGACAACATTTCTCGATGTTTGGATGCCAAAGACTATTTGGGTGTCCTGGAAAATACAGTAGGTATCATCAGGCAGGGCGCCTGTGGTGCAGGAAGATAAGACACTAAAGAAGAAGGAATGAGCTGCAGAACAATCAGAATCAATCCTCATTTCGTGAATTAGTCTGCTCTTCTTGCCCAATGAAATGACCTTCATCAGTGCAAATCCAATTTAAGTCGCAAAGATTTTCATTTTCATTCTGATTGACATTGCCGCAGCAGAGAATGAGGCTCGGTGGGATGGCAAAATCCATCTTGGAGGTGTGTGTGTGTGTGTGTGTGTGTGTGTGTGTGTGTGTGTGTGTGTGTGCATGTGTGCCTGGGAGTATGATTTTATCCCTGTTCTCATGCCTCTGTCACTGTCTCTTTTGTCAATGCCATCACCCCTCTCTTATTCTTTCTTTCTTTCTTTTCACTCCTTCTGTCTCTCTCTCTCATCCCTCCTTTGGGCTTCAGAGTTTCATTTGGCGATGAGCTCCGGCCTTGACTCTCTTTCCTCAAGGTCAATAGACTGAAATGGAGAATATCAACTTGAGCATTTCTAATTAAATCTAAATTGTGAGTTGGAATATTCATGGCCCATTGAGTTAAATCGTTTTTTCCCTCCAGTGGACTGACACTTGCCAACGAAAAGTGACTAAGGAAGACCTGCAGGGATTTTGTCCAGCTGAAGAAACTCAGACCTGCTCTTGGCAAATGTTACGTGTGACATATAACAACTTTAAATGCACTACAAGGAGTTCCTAACTGGTTATGAAACAGTCTCAATTTAATTCATGACCCACATAAACAAACAAGAGCCTAAGTGAGAAGATTGGGTATTTTTATATAGTTATTCTTAATGCCTGGCACCAGGTCTGATTTGCTTGGATACCCCTTGAAATCAGTGAAACGAGGCAGTGGAAACAACTACTGTTATCCACAGGGCAAGCCACAATCAACACAAAAATAGATTTCACTATTGCTGCTTTCAATAAAATGTATAAAACTATGATTATCATTTACTGTCAATCATATAATAAGTGAAGTCTAACTGGATATTACATCCTAGTTTCTGGTACTACAGAGTTTTCATGATCAATGCTGGGGACAGATTTCTGCCGGAACAGAGATTTGTTTTCTTTTCTTTTTTTTTTACTTAGAAAAAGTATGTCAAACTTTACAGTGTATCAGTATTAAATAAAGAACTTTAAAGTTAATAAATATCAGATCAAAAGAATAATTAAGACTAAGCACGTTGTGCCAGTAACCCCTACTCAGCTTCTTCAAGCACACATTTCAGTCAGCAGTCAAAAAGTATTGAAGTTTGATACACAGCCCAGTATTTTACTTTCAGGGTATTGAATTTTTCTAGTTGTTTCCGGAACTGTTGAGGTCAGTTCAGTCAGTGCTGGTCAATATTAATTCAGTGGAGCTGCTCACTGTCTGAAAGTAGAAGCCTGCAGTTGTACTGTGTAAATCCAATTTGCCACTGTGTTTCCAAGGTTGTTTCCTTCCTTGGAAAAAATAAAATGTAACATCAAAATGGCCAAGAAGGTAATTACAGCCATTCAGAGCTGCACTGTTCTCTTGCTACTTTTCTTTGAAAGACTACAAAAATTAATGTTTGAAAGACTTTCACATATTTGCCACCATTCAGGTCGATATTGAGCTTGTACCTCACAGTGTGTGTTAACAGGTAGTCTAAGGGACTGTGTTTGACGCCCTGCTACTAACAGACGGTCTGGCATTGCAGAAATTCTGTGTTTATGCGTGTTTGTGTTTGCTGTAAACAGATATACACATATAACACACACACACACACACACACACGCATATATATATACACCATCCAGCAAAACAATCTTTCACCCAGAACTTGTTCCTGAACATCAGTTAAACAAAGTAGTTGCTAGGCAACACAGCAGCAGCGATTTCAGTGGTGACTTCGGGTCAGAGCATTACCATTTTAAATTAGGTGTTGCGAAACTACAGGTGTAGTCGTCTGGTTTTGAACAGTAGCTCGCTGTTTGACAGAAAAGAGAAAGAGAGCTATCACTATTTCTGTTGGAACCCAATGATCAACGGTGTGTTGTGAATGTTTACATGTGTGCTCAGGGACAAAATTCAGCCACACAGTTTTGCACCCTGTACATTTTCGTATAGCCTCTACTCACATGCACCACTTTTCCTTCTAGTATATTTCTTAAGCCAGTCCTAAGCATTTGTACATTTTTATGGAAAAAGAAAATTTTGAATAAAATGGCAGGGTCAGACATGCACGACAGCTCAAGAGTGGTATGTCAACTTGAGCTGCACTCAAAATTTTTCATTTAAATTTGCTATTACTCATTCATTTAGACAGGCAAATTTTATGAAATGATAACACATCATGATACAGTAAAACTAATGGCCAATATACAACAATGTTGCTGAGTCTTACAGTCAGTACTCAAAATAGAAAAGTGTAGTGCCTTTCGGACTTGTCCAGTAATTTATTCTACTGTATCAACTGGACAAAATTCAATTAAGCTGATGCTGTTGATTTAATTCTTGAGTATTGAATTATTCTGATGGTATGTTTGGTAAATGTGAGAGGAATTCACTTAACCAAGTCTCTTTTGAAATAAAAGAATAGTGGAATCTTTGAACAAATGTCAGTATTATTAAAAATTGAAATGGTTTTCGAGCAATGTTTGCCATTGTAGGCTCTCTGCTTACTACAGCCCTTAAGCTGCTGTGTTGAAATGCTACCTGCACTTTGCTAAACTCTACAACTTGTCTCTTCTTTTCTTCAAACCCAGCATCAGCTTCCAGTATGACAGTGATTCATGTCCAAGCAGCCGTCCGGTGCCTAAAAGCTCAGCAGCCTTAAGGCAGAAAAATGGAGTTGGGAAAATTCTATAATTCAAATTAAAATGTAGAACGTTCCTCAAGTAATGTATCGAGCCTCAAATTTATTGTAAAAACAACAATGGTTTGACAGGTAACACGTAAAAGTAAAGTGTTTATAGTTAAACATTTGTAGCCAAACATGCCTCTGGCTGTTATTCTGGAAATTAAACCGGAACCTGTTTTGTTTAAACGATCCTCATGTTCACTAGCTTCATCTGAGTTGTGAGATATCAGTGTTGTCTGTCCTGAAGCCAGCGTGTTTCATTCCTCACAACTCCTGGGAGGTGAAGTGTATTTGTGTTTTCTCCCTCTGGCAAAGAGGTAACCGTCTCCGCCCCACAAATCGGTGCCCACACAGTGACTCTGCTCTCTTTTCTAAGCTTGCACACTCCAGTGACCATACAAGTTTGCAATCACTACACTTTGTGCAGTCATACAGCTACAACACACACCATTCCTTTGTCCCCCTGCAACCACTGTTGTGTATCCTTTGTCTCCTGATGAAAGTCCACTGCATTTTATTCAGCACCTCTCTAGGGAGGTGTGTGCACGTGTGTGCGTGCACATGTGTGTATGTGGGTGGGTTGGCTTTGTGTTTTCTTGAGTTTTCCTTCTCCAGCATACAACAATTACAAGTCATGGACAATAAACTGCTCAGATACACTGTCACCCAGCAAGGAAAATCAAGTCATTCAGTGTGACAAACATATTTTAAAGAGGTGAAGGGCAACGTCTGGGCCTCCTGTGTCTCCACTCAATCATACGTTTTGTCAAGCCTGGATCACAGTTTTTCACAGATTTAGAATATACTATACAGTGTATTGTCCAAATAAAGGGAGGCAGGGAAAAAAAATAAGTTTTTGTGGATTTCACAAGGTTTAATATGTGATTATTTCATCTTTTAAAGGTCCAATGTGTAAGATTTAGGAGGATCAGTCGGTAGAAATGCAATATAATATGCATAACTGTGTGTGTTTCATTAGTGTATAATCACTTGAAAATAAGAATTGTTATGTTTTTAGTACCATAGAATGAGCCCTACACACGTGTGGGTTGCATTCCATGGAGGCAGTCATATTGAACCTCCATGTTTCTACAGTAGCCCAGAACCGACAAACCAAACACTCACTGTAGATAGGACCGTTCATGTTTCAAATTTGGCGTGTTTCATAGCCAACTGTAGTTTCTCCTTTGCGCTTGGATAGGGAACGTGAAGCAAAGGACTTGCAGTCTGGAACTACACCACTAGATGCCACTAAATCCTACACACTGGTCCTTTAATGAACTTGTTTCGTAGTTTAGTTGCTCAGATTTACTTTGAGTCCTACGGGTTACCCGTAACACCCCTCTGTGCATAGATCCGCAGAGATGTTCACCTGAACCATAATTTCAACCTAAGACACCGACTGATAACAACTTATCAGGACCTCCAGTTCTTTCTCTTTTCTTTGTACTTTAATAAAGTGGAGTAATAAAGCTCTATGAATGTCTTGCGTTTTTTGCTGTAGTACCCCAGCACATTCAATTTGAAATTCAAATGTTCTTTTCTGAGAGACCACCATTACTGTATGGTCACAAATGACCTCAGACTCTGGTCAAAAATGCTTTAAGTGCAAGAAATATTAAGGAATGTAAAACAAATCTTCTTTTTGGATATGGTTAAAGCTAAAGGTAGTTAGCCACCACTGTCTATATATCATAGTTTAATACCCAGAATCCAGAAGATGGGAGTGACCACAGCCTATTAATTGTAATTATAAATTTATTGAACTCCGGTAATATCTGTGTCTCAACATATTGATCACCAGGGTAGATAAGTGCCAAGGCAGAGCATACCATCAAGTGATACTCCAGCCAAAATGTTTTTAGTATTAAATGCTTGATAGTTGTCTGTTAAATGTTGGTAGTGTCATCATGATGTCCTTTAGACTACTGGTCTGTGGATATATGTCATTTGTAATTTGCGAGATTGTTGAATAACAGATAATCTAAATTAAATCTGGATTTAGTGTTTCCCTTTGTCATTATTCTTTGTCATTGTATCATTTGTCATGTCAGTATGACTCACTGTACTCTCTATGGTGGTGAAACAGTCAAACACAGGCTCTTTCTGACTTACTGGCTCGCTGTTTACTATATAGTGAACTTGAAAAAAAGAAATGAAAATTTTCATTTTGGCCTTGAAAATCCCCACAGTGGAACAAGAAGAGTGGTGTCAATGGCATGTTGACTACTCTCTGCTCACAGCCCTTAATGCCAGCGGTGCATTTTATAGATGCGAAAATTACAGTCTGGCGACTTAACACAGTGATGATGCAAAATTATGATTCATAAGTGTCTGGAAGCCTAATTTACTGCTTACTATAAAGCAGGGGTTTTCAGAATGTGACTGTTGGCCTCCCCTTAGACAAAGATTGGAAAATGTCGCCCCCTCAATTACTGGATGCCAGGGATCATGATTATGTAATGATCTCATAGACACTCAACAATTGAGTCAAGATACCCCAATACTGCTTTTGGACATAACTTCACACCACACCATAAAACAAGGTCTGTCCAAAGGAATGTATTAGTTTCTGACTATGGAAAAGTGGGGAAAACCCGAAATTATTAGCCAAATCACACACCTTTAGGCTTTTATAAGTAATTTTCTTTTGATAATTAATGTAATATTCTTTCACTTCCATTCCCTGAGCCTTCCCTAAAACTGTTTGCTATCAACTATTGAGTGTCTATTGTATTAAGAGAAGTGACTAAGTCACTGAGGGTGTAATTTTAGACACAACCTCTCTTGCTGCTGTGGCGCTGGATACCCAGTGTCTTTCTCCATGGTTCCTTAATACACTACCGGGACTATAAGCACTGCTTTGCAAAGATGCAGTACTCCTTTGCAACTACCAAGAATTAACATACCAAAACAGCTACCACCAAGCAACAACTTTAAAATTAAACAGCATTCCTTACAACAGCCCAAAAAGCCAACAACAACTCGTAAGAAATCTGATTGTCATCTCTTAAGTAGAGCTTTGCATTGTACTGATGCAATATTATATCTTGTTATAAGAGTAGATTATTATAGAACTTTTGATTATGATGATATAAGGATATGTAATGTTCTTGACCTCTTTTTTTTTTATGCTATCACGGCTGAGAAATGGGAAGAAGATGAATGGATAAAACTTTACCAAGTGGAGGAGCACCACTAAAACACTGAGACATTTTTTTATTGTCTAATTCTCTGTAACTGTATCTTTTTTGTCCTCCAGGTCGCCTGTGATGGCAGGTGGACTGTTTGCTGTGGACAGGAAGTGGTTCTGGGAGCTGGGAGGATACGACACAGGTCTGGAGATCTGGGGAGGAGAACAATATGAGATCTCATTTAAGGTAAAAAAATAAAACACACCACAAAAACACAGCTACAGTAAGGTGAGGTGAATAACCGATAGTGTCACTTTAACCTCTGTGTACTTTTTGGAGTGTTTAATCAAATCTGAACAAGTGAGTGTGTTCTTCCATGTTTTATGTTTGGAGTCAGTCAGAGAACCAACTGTGTACATTTTTTACTGAATAGTTCATACTGTTAATGAATACAATTCTGTATGTAGGACATAATAGGTACTATGAATAATGTACAGTGTTTTTTAAAATCAGATTTAGTTAGTCTGTTAGAAACATGAGCAATATTGGAATTTTTCTTCACTTTAAGTTACGTTGTATAGACATGGTGTCCACTGTTGCAAAGAAGGCACAAATAAGTTTTGGACTGTTTTGATTGACCGATTGATTGATTTGATTTTGATTACCACCGTTGTGTATTGACTATTTTTTGCCTATATCTTATTGCATATTTATATTTGCAAATAGTATGGAGTAGTAGTTATTCTTATAACAAATAACAATAAGGTTTAAATAAAATCTAAACTATATTATTTGTTAATAAACCTGCGCTTTAACTAAATAGCTAAGAAGAAAAAAAAACAGGTTGAGCTCATGAGACATTCCTCATCATGGTTTCAACTCTTGTTTCAGTCATTTGAGTGAAATATGCTGTGTTGCATGGCTCACTACTTCATACATTAATCATACTCCAATCTTATATTTGGCTTTTGTGTGGTGCTTCTTCATGAATTATTCTATGGCATCGCCATAACTGCTTGCGACTTGGCCAGCATGTTAAGAACTCTTTGCTGCCTCCGTCAGCGAGCTCTGGACCGACAGAACAGCCAGTCACAATAATTGAATTCGGGTTTGAGTGAGTAAGGACTTTTGTCGTCTCACTCAATTAAGCACAAAGGCCACTGCTGTGTAGCTTGATTTGATTGGACATATGCTGCTTTGTGATACTAAAATTAGAGCGAAATTTTCAGCCAAGTGCATTTGTTGTTTATAGAAATTGAGCATCCACATCAAATTGACTGTCAAAATTGTTTTACCTTCTACTGCTTCTTTATATTAATGCATAATATTTTGTTACTCCATTTTTTGCTTATTGATGCTGATGTAATAGTGATTAAACATATACTGTATGGCATGCATGAAAGCCAAATCATTCACCGTGAGGCATTATGCTTCTACAGAGGCAACATCAGTAGTGTAACAGAGCACATAGTGGGCAGAGAAGACAGAAGAAGCTATAGTCCATATCAGTTGAACAATATGGATTTTATGAAAATAACAATCTTCATCAACAAGCAATGCTGAACCTGTCAAACAACTGAAAAAAAAAAAAAGATGTGCTTAAACAAACCATGTTTAGTCCAAATCTACTCTAAAGTTGACTATACAAACTTTAGACATGAGATATCGGGCCTTGGCCTTTTAATAATGAACTGCTTTGTGAGAGCAATTAGCCAAGTGGTTATTTATCATACAAGGATGACAGAACCTTCAAGCTATTAAACTGTACCAATGTATGAGCTTTATATTGGTTTTCAGTTTACAGGTGTCCCTAAAGTAAAGATAAAGGATGATATTCGTTATATTATTGCTGAATGCTAGTTGACAGTTGTCAGAGGACCGTACCCTATTTTCCTGAATATCAGGAATCTTTAGACTTAATGCCAATTTTAGCTTAATGGGCAACAACAAACTTCTGGTCATCTATGGAAATTGGCATTATAACAGAAAGATGCAGCAATGTTTGAAACCTACACGTGTTTAGATCCTTAGCTTGCAGTTTGCTTCTTCCCTGCCTTCGGTGTGACATTGCTGTGTTTCTTAGCCACAACCACTTTTGATCAGTAGACAAGCACCTACAGCATGTTACTCTTTGTCTATTAATATCAAAAATAAACCATGTTCCTCATTTGCATGACTTTTAAAAAAATACTGCCAAGAATCAGAAATAATTAGATTCATTATGTGTATGTAAATGCAGGTGATGTTGACAGGGCCATGTGTATTGTAGAATATTGGCAAGCACCAATGCTATTGCATTGTGTAACTTATTTTGCAAAAGCAATATATTAATAAAGTTATTATTATTTTGAAAAAGAGACGGTAATGCCGCCTTTTGCCACGATAGTGTGGTTTTAGTCTTTATGGTTTGAGGTGAGCAGATTGGAGAGGTTGTCTGTTTGAGGTGAGTGATAAGACTTTCAATTTAATCTTAGGGGCGCTGAACTCAAGCTCTTGATCCCTCCTGCAGCGAGGCGCCCCTGTTATTAAGCTCAAGTGTTTCAGTCAGGGATGAAGACGATGGAAGGGATTGGCGCAGCAGGTCAGACCTTACCTACAGCGAGATGGGGAGAGGGTGGATTCAATCTGTTATTTCCCTCGGTTCTGTTTGTCCAAGCTGTAGCGGTGCAACAAACTTGACAAGCAGTAATTGAATTGAAAAAGCAGCCAGCTGATGTCCACTCTGGAGAATCAGGAAGGGGAGTGATGCAGAATATCAACAAACTGGAAATTATCAAGTCCAAAACAGAAGTCTATCTGTCAAGGAAAAAGCAACATTTTTCTCTTTATTGACTCACTGAGCATCCCCTGTGAACAGCCTATGTCCATCATCATACATGTGTCCTTGAGAAAGACAAAACTTCAACCTGTTAAGGCATTGCAAGTCAATCTGAATAAAAGCAGTGCAGTGGAAATGAATGGTTATATCAAAGGAGTTTTCCCTACAAGAGCCGAGAGATTCTAGTCACGACAGGTGTAGGAGTAGATTGTAAGATCTGGGAATTTGTGGAGGACGGTGTGCTGTGAGATGGCAAGAGAGGTCAAGGAATGTATGAATAACCCAGCATGTTTGTTATCAGTAAACTTGTCACAGTTTTTTGAGAAGTTTAACATGTTTGTATTGGCTATGATTCATTTGATTGATGTTGCACAATCAATTGAAAAAGGGATCAAATTTGTGATTTGTTCTAAAAGAATATATCAGTGTATAAAACATGTATACTTCATCTTTTGACTTATGCAGTTTTTAGCAGCTATCGGTTTCCATTTATCTCTGTAAGATCAATTAGCAAGTTTTGGAACAATTAGCCCGTCAAACAAAGGACAACAATTTTGAACAATTCACTTAATTTAAGCCAAAAAATGCCTGACATTCACTGGTCCCATGGTTTAATGACGTTTTACAGTTAATGGACTTACTGAAAAAAGAATCAAGAGATGAATTATTAATGAAAATAATAAGTAGTTGTAGCCGGAAAACTAGCAGGTTGAATTAAGATTGATGATAGGAACTCATAATAATGTGATTTTGACAAAGCAATTTAGAGTTCACCTCAAGTAAGTTTCAATATTCTGCTGTTTGATCTCCATTAGGTATTGTCAGGAACATGGTTTTCAGGATGGTTTGCTGATGTGAAGTTTACACTTAGTAACTAGGTAAAACAGTGATATGGTCCTTAAATTAAGTTTTATACCTTCCTAAGCTAGAGAGTTAAGCTATGTCACACTTTCAAAGATTTTTGCAATACAATAATACATACATTTATGAGTTCAGCCGTTAACTGGCAAATGTTTATTTAAATACTTAAAGTGGAAATTGTAAATCTGTTCTTAAACTTTTACTTTCTGACCTTCTGACCTCAGACTGCTCTGATTAAGTTTAAATTCATACATCGCTCAAAATATATCTTAAAAATTTCAAATACTCAAATCCAGTAGACTTGAAAGGTGGCTCTGCCTTCCAAAAGCAGCATAACAAATCCAATTTCAGTCTTTGTCATTAGGCTAAGCATGATTGACTTGTCTTGTTCCCTTTGATGTCATTCACTCCCTCTGGTCTCTCTGCAGTCTAGAAACACATGAACTTTCTGTGGAGTTGTTTGAATTGTGTTCACACTCCTGTTTTGTAGATGATAATTAATATTAACAGTTTTTTAAGCTTGACCAGCCTCACATCATATTAATCTATCTGGTCGTAAACACGAGTCTGACTGTACATCTCTACTTCTTTCTTCATTTTCTTTTTCACAAGTATAGGATACAAACCAGTCAACATACCGTACAACCATGTACAGACAGTATACATTACTTCATGTCCCTCTGCTTGAGTCATACTCCCACTCCTTCCATCTTTCCTTTTCTTTACACCCCAACCTTGTTGCCTCTCTGTTGCTTTGTCTTCACCATGTCTTCCCACGCTTTGTCTTTCTCACACTGTTTGTTTTGTCTCTTGGAGTAGTTGACCTTGTCTGCTCATCTGATATTCACATTGTTCACTTACACAAATACCAATGCACCAGCTTTGAGCAACCCCCCCACCCCCCTTTCTCTGATATCATCTTTTTCACTGCTGAATCTCTCGTTGTGTCTCTGTAGGTATGGATGTGTGGTGGTCGGATGGAGGACATCCCTTGCTCCAGGGTAGGACACATCTACAGGAAGTACGTCCCCTACAAAGTTCCTGGTGGGGTCAGCCTGGCCAGGGTGAGTCTCAGATGGTTTTATAGCAAAACTTAATGTGGACCCAAGGACTTTCTTTGCAGAATAATGGTCTGAAACACTTGAGGGGAAAAGCATCTAATTTCCATTTCTGGTTCTTTGCCTTTATTTATGTTTCTATACAAACATCTCATGGTCAAGTGTTTTACATTGAATGTGTGGAGGTTTAGTGATTTTGTACATTGCGCTGTAAAAAATAAAACAAATGCAAAAAGATATGGAGGACACGTTTGAGAACTCTGCCGCTAAGACATCTTCTGCTACTCCAGCACAATGTGGCTGAATGGAATGGCAATGAATAGATTTGTTTTGTATGAAGTGTTAACAATAAGGTCTGTAGATAACCTAAAGTAGTAATAAGTATTTTTACAAATGTATGTTTAAGCTTCACTTTAAGCACCACTAATTAAATCCCATTCACCCTCAATGTCCTGGGTTGGTGACAAAATCTTCAGCATCAGATATCACCAAACAAATAAAACAGTGACTGCGTGTCAAACCTGTTAAAAAATGTAAAATGTATTCATATCACTTAATATCAAAAACTGTAGATCAAGCTGTTCTTGTACAACTGCTTGTGAGTAGACAACATGTAACATTAAAGAACATTTAAGAAAGGGGAACTCCATTGACTTTACACAACCCATTTGGGTTAGAGGTCTTGTTGCTTCCTTTTCAAAACAAAATATTAAAAAATAAATGTATAAACTCTATATGTAAACTGACATAAAATACTCAAAGTATTCAGAGAGATATTTTTCAAATGTTCTATTGCACAAGAAACAAACGAGTTACAGCTGTTGTTTCAGCTATGCAACTGTATGGCGTATATGAAAAATTCATATCATAAGGGAATTTAAAGTATATTGCCCTAGTTTGGTCTTAGCCTACATTTGGTGTTGAGGCTAGCTGTTCAAGGCTACGTTAGCCACTACTATCACACCCAAATCTCTGACTGGACCGTTATGAGTCTGAAAATGTTATGCTAAATCTGTGGAGTACTTAAAAAGACAAATGAGGTACAATATCTTAAAATGTTGATTTTGTATTCAAACTGAAGAGTCACTGAGAAACTGACACTTTAAATTAATTTCTGCATTGGACACCTTGGTGATGATCACTCAGTGAATTTTAGCTTATTTCGCACCCTTTAACTTTCAGTGCACGTATCAGACCCCTGTATCCACAGTCTACAACTTACAGTCTTCCAATAATGAGCACAAGTTTCTTCATTCCGTGTGAGCTTTAACACTTGGTTATGAGTATGAGAAATAAAAAAAAATGTCCGGCTGTAGCTGAATGATATTCATCATGCATGACTCAGCCTCAGTCTGACACCTGGCTCTGTTTGGCTCAGCTGAATATGTAATTAAACCTCTTGGCCTTTGTTTTTGCCTTGTCGGTCTGACCATTAGCCCCAGACTGAGGCTGTATTGAATGCTAATATCAAACAGGCAGCAGGTTTAACAATACAGATATAATTACTGTACCTCAGGCTGTGATGAATTTTGTTTTGTCCCCAGCGTCGTCCTCTGCATAGTAGTTTTAAAATAATTAAATACATAAGTGGGCCTTGCCTTTTGAACTGATTTGCTTTAGTTGACTGAATGAGTATGTTTGTCATACTGTTAAAATATAAATTATAGCCTGGCTGATGGTAGAGAAAACAGAGTAGTTTTGTGTCCTCCATCAAATAGGATAGTCTAAGTTGGAAGATGCTTCATTTAAGTTTGTTTTCACAAAGGTGCAGATAACAAAACTGTTTGAAGGTTTTGAAAAACTAGAAGGGCCATGCAGCCAAAAGCAGCAATACAAAAGACTTGACAATCAAGATAGAAGAGAAAATGGCATAAATGCAAAGAGCTTTATTGAAACTAGTTCTGGAGCAGATGCAGAAGGGAGCTCTTAAGAAAGGGCTTTGAAAGTGGAGGAGGAAGAAGAGATTTAGCTATTTTCTTGTTGTTTTTGGCCTTAGAATGTGGATGGAAAATGTCACAAGGATGACCTGAAAATGCTAATGGAGACACGTGTTTTGGCAAATGAAAAGCGTTTTGAAATTTAGCCAGCAGGCTTTCAGACCAAAAACAGACGAGCTTTATACAACGCAAGAGATAAGGTTGATGGGGGTGAAGAAAAGCGAAGCTGGAAGGCTGATTTGAGTCAAAGTTTGCATAAGATGGTGAAGTTTTAACCATGAAGCTTCATTATCTGCCTAGGACTTTAAGGACGAAACTGTAATCATAAATTGTTTTATAGCATAGAAAAGAATAGTCACAGTTTACACCTTCACCTTCCCTTTTTTTCTCTTTTTACGGTGAACCTACAGAGACAGAAAGTGTAACAAACTGAGTAGTTTGCAAGAGTTACATTATGAAAACCCATGTTTTTGGATCTATACCCATACAGGAGATTGCACCATTGATTTTGTCCTGTGCTCTTTTAAGGGGAGTCAGAAAGGAGTTTGGTTAGTTTAATGTTTTAGTTACGCTTCACCAAGAGAATCTCCAGTCATGGTCCAATTCTTTGCCTGAGGTAAGAAAAACACCAGGTCTTTCGTTTCCTTTCTTTTCTTTAACTGCTGTAGATTGTGTAGGCATCCACATAACTGTTCCATGGTGAGAAAAACTGTTTTCTATCGCCTAATTAAAGGTTATTTTATAAACCACAATAGCAGGTGAGTCCCTTCAGCAAGTACAGATGCCCTGAGTCCAGTCAACATGAAGAGAGAATCACTGAACTCCACTTCACCTGGAGGGTGTGAGTTTCGCTGCAGGCAATGAGCTGTGCCACTGGGAGTCTGTGTGTGTGTGTGTGGCTGGAGGCATTTTTCCTCTACATCTGTACCTCCAAAGGCCGGAAGATTTGTATTTATACTTTCCTTGGAGGCTCACTGAACCTGTATTCTCATTCATTTTACCATCCATACCTCCAAGGCTGCTACCATCTGTATTCCCAGACATGCATCTGTACCTCAGAGGCTGACAGGCTCTGTGTTTTTTACTCCTTTACACTTGACAGGCTTCAGATGGATGGATTTCCCATTGCTCAGGTGTAAATCTTTCATGTTTGCAATTGTCTGAGCTTAAAGAGCCTGTTGAGGAAGCTGTCTGCCCTGCAGTTGTCATTGCTTACAAGTTCTATCACCTGCTTATCTTCTTTATTCCACTTAGACAGTTTCATTCTGAAATTAGATACTTTCATAATGATTGAAAGAGACATTGTCACCGAATGTCTGACTTTTTGAATATTATTAGGTGTATATATTATTAGGTCTTTAATTTCAAGCTGCTTTTGTTGTAGTCTAGTGAAAACACTTGTCACGCAGTTTAAACACAGTCATAAAAAGACATTTAAAGATTAAAGAAGAGTCGAAAAAGCTACTTCTCAAACGTAAAATCAGCTCCCATGCCAGTAAATGTTTTCACTGGCATTCATTTTCAATAAAAAAAAACAAGCACACTTCCTATCCCTGTGTCATTACTAACACACAATCAGGCAAACTGTACCATATATAAACTGTACCATATATAGAATGTTTCAGGATATTTTCTCTCTGACACTTTTCTTTTTGTTACCTGTATCTTAAAGTCAAAATGGTCTGTTTTTTACTCACCTGTTTCACACAGTTGACGCGTCCTTAGCCGATGATTTTCCCCAGGAAGTGGTCAAACCTGCAGGTTTCTCTGTGTTAAAATGGAGTGAAACAGAATTGCAACCTGCTTCATAATTTTTCCCTTTATACAGTTCTATATATACTGGTGTTCACATTTAAGCCATTCAAGTTACAAGAGTTTTGTAACATTTAAAAGGTCATGCAGACAAGTTTTTTGAAGACATTTTTAAGCTTTATTGACTGTGTCAGAACACACAGTGCATCACAGCTTGTTGGTATGAGGCTGCATCACATAATGACCACCAGGGTGCCCAGGTGGTCTTAATGTTATGGCTGATCGGTGTACACATTTCCCAGTACTGCACATAGACATATGTTGTTTGTGGAAAATCTGGGGAACAACTAAATATAATAAATATATAGGTTTAGACTATGTTATTTACTTTATATTGATCGGTTTTTTGGCTCTGTGCGGTTCAGAATTCAAAAGTCAAGTGTTTCATTAAATAGTGTGATAAGCTGCATTTGTTATAATTAACATGTCAGAGAGTAAAAGGGGAAAAGAGCGTCTTTTCTGAAGCCATCCTCCCTGTAAATTATCTCATAATTGAGTTCAGTTGTATCTGCTTTCATGACTAGAGACAAGTTGCTTCTATTTTTTAATCTCTCGCCTTCTGGGAGACAATGACAGTTCCTGTGAGATGACTGGCCGCCTTTCTGCTGAGTGGCTTTGATCATTCTGTCATGTCAGATCAATCAAAACATCAAAGATGGCAAGATGTAGAGATGATGGCTTAGTCTGTGTTTCAATGACGACTTGATGTCCAGAAGCACAAAGATCTGCTAACAAGCCAGTTGACTGCAGGACTTTCAAGTGAAATTGTTTTTTACTGTCTGGCACAGTTTTATTTAGCATCAACAATCATTGGCAGTTACACGACAAATATACAAATATTAACCGAGTATTTTTCATTGCTCTTCTTCAAACTCTTCTTCCTCTAGAGTATTCCTCTTCCTCCATCTGCTCATGGGTGAGACCCGGAATCTCTGGATGTCTGTTTTCCTACGAGATATTAGTCTGGATTGTCTAAAATGTAGAATGAAAACCAAACTTGTTCCGCTCTGATTTCAGAATCTGAAGCGCGTGGCAGAGGTGTGGATGGACGAATACGCTGAATACGTGTACCAGCGTCGGCCCGAGTACCGCCACCTGTCAGCGGGAGACATGACAGCCCAGAAGGAGCTGAGGAACCACCTCAACTGCAAGAGCTTCAAGTGGTTCATGAGCGAGGTGGCCTGGGACCTACCCAAACACTACCCACCGGTGGAGCCTCCTGCTGCAGCGTGGGGCGAGGTAAAGTCAGCATGAAACAGAAAATAATTTGTCATGAACCAAGCCAAGCTTTGAATATTTATGAATTCATGTATTTTATTTCTTGTGATATTTCCTGTGAGCTGTAAAAGCACAGACAGAAATACACTGTTAAGTTAACCATTTAAAAGTAATTTCAATATAACCATGGGACCAAAAGATCAGGACCATTAGTAACCGCTTCTTCTAAAATAATCTGTCAAGAAAATTTGGGCCAGTTGGCTCTAATAATCATATCAGTCTATCCTATGTGGCTGCTGTCTGGAAATTCAGTCTGATTGCACTCAGGGATGAGAGAGCCCATTTATTTAATGTGAGTCACAGAATAATTTGCATGTTATTCCCTCCCAAAATAAACCAACCTAAGAGTATGCCTCAACTATTTTTTGTGCGTAATGTCCTGTGTGATTATGGTTTCATAAAAGAACCTCCAGTCACTGTTCCATACTTCCATACTAATTATCTTCGTATGAATGCTGACCGTGTCTGCTAACTAACAGCCGAGCATCTCTTGTGTCCTCGTTTGTGACTTTGCTGTTTGTGCTGTAGGTTCGTAACGTGGGCAGTGGCATGTGCATGGAGAGTAAACACTTTGTATCAGGAAGTCCCATCCGCCTGGAGAGCTGTGTGAAGGGGCGGGGCGAGGTGAGCTGGAGCCACGGACAGGTGAGCAGCAAAAAAATTAAAAACACTATGAATAAATAGCGTAGTTCAAACTCTTGAGGCCTGTTTTTCTGGTAAAGACACAGAAATTTAAAGCCAGGCCTTAATAAGGAATTAAGTATTACTTTGTCCTTTGGCCATTACAACAGAACTTTAAGAGAGAAGACAACATTAAATAAAACATGCACAAATTAAACTGAAAGACACTAAAATACAGTTAATTAATTTATAAATACATGCAGGTTTTTGTATTTTTTTTGTCTTGTATTGAATTTCAGTGGATTATTAAGGATATTAGCGTCATGAGCACTGCTTAGGTGCTATGAGAAGGTCTTCACGGGTCCACTTCCTAGTAACCGAGACCTGACCTGGTACCAAGTTGGGCTGGGTCCAAATATATATCAGTCTAATCTGGTCCAGTCCCTCGTGTTCTATTGCAGCAAGTCTAATGTCTATGTGTCAATATGTGTGATAACTGAGTGCCTCAGCTCTGATCATGTGATGTGTCATCATCATCATCATCATCATCATCATCATCATCATCATCATCATCATCACCACAGGAGAAAGCGACACTTTTTAAGGCCGACAATGATTGTTACCGGTGTAGGGCAGAAAAATGATATCTTGCTGCTCTTTGTGACTGAGGCTGCTTGTTAATTGGTTGAGCATCATGCTGTTACCGGCATTCTCTCTAGGGTCGACCACATTTTGGATCTGGTCTAATTATCTTTAAGTTTTCTTTCTTAGAGGGTTTGATTGTATTCAAGTCTCTTTCGAATCGGGTGCCTTTGTTTTGAAAAGGAATGTATGTACATGTGGTCAGGGTAGGTTTTTCCACAGGTGAGTTTAGGATTGGCTCTTGTTTTATCCACCTGGCAGACTTTTTGCCTCGTGTTTAAAAAAATGTGTTTATAGGGGCAGACTCTTATACCACTCGACCACACCATCCCAAGAAGAATTGTTTTTTTTCCTAATGAGATTTAACCATTGTTGATAGATTGTCTCCTTAGCAATCGTATTTCTTCTGCTAAACACACATTAATGTCAAATGAACTTAAACGGACACGTAAACAACATACGCGCACTGTGCTGCTTCATTATCTTTGCATTGTTCTAAAGCAGTCTGTTTGTTCTCACACGTCACGCTGAAGATCTTTAAGCCGAGCTCATAGTACAACCTTAATGGATTGAATGTCCCCTTTTGTTTCCGCAGCTGAAATACTGCGCCTCAGAGCTCTGACAGTTTAATTGCTTTAATCTGGAGATGCATTGTAGTTTAATCTGTGTCACAGTTGCAATCTGTATTCGGCGCCGGCGAGAAATGGATTCAGTGCAAATCACAGGAGGCCTTCTGGCAGCTGTCCTTGTCAGGGTTTTTTGATTCTCCATAAGAGGAGTGGAGGAAGTCATTCAGAAAGTTTTTGTGAGCTGGAGGAACGATGGCCACATGTATATCACTGTATGTCGGGATTCAGAGTTTTTATTACATATATATTTTTTTTTTTTTTTTGTTTAACAACAGAAAAATAATGGAGCTTTTTTTTATTCGCAGACGATAGAAATATATGACAGATGTAATCAAAGCAAAAGGATATGGCTCTGTGAAACATCCACTTATCAGTCCTGACTGCCTTGTTCATCATGGTCATTTTTAATACAACGTTGAGATCAATGGAACGACAGTGACAAACAATTAGATAAAAAACGGACGATCATTAAGGACATCATCAATCAAAGTGTCTCAGACTCTCCTGAGTGTGATAACTCACCGTGATCTCGTTGCAGTTTTTAGATAAATAAATATTGATGACCAGTTAAGTTTGTGGAGCTGCTTCAGTCCTTAATGATCATTGAAGATGTTAGTGAGGAATTTCTGCACACACTGTATAGGGGACTTACATATATAACATATATCATAATATATATGATACAGTATATTTTGTTAAATTGCGCTTATTATATTGTTTCTTTGGTAACATGCATACAGACTCAGTACTTGAGCATTAATATTCATTTTATCTGCTGTTTCTTGGTCTGTGACAAACACAGACCCATGGCCACAGGAATTATACTCAAATTAAGATATATATTCAGATGCCACAATGACTAATAGCACAATCCCTGAAGCCCTGTGCAGTTTTCCCATAAGCAAACAAACACACCAACACACATTGTGAAACATGTTGAATGCATTTCCTTCCTCAGAAATAATTTACAAAGTTTTGCATAATTTACTTCTTTGTCTTCTCAGTGGTTAAGTGTAAAGCCATTGTGTCTGAAATGTACATTTGGTGGATCCCCAACCATGTGTCATCTTTATCGCTACAGTCAGGCAGAATATAAATAATTTATCTGCTATGGTGTTTTCAGTTCAACACGTTTAACCTTGATTCACCTAGAAAATAACCAGCAACCTTTGCAAGTCCTAATGAACCTATTTAGTGAGATTTTTTTTTATTCACTGAGGCTACACTCGCTTCTGATCCTCAGATGAACTCTTAGAGAGAGAAACAGCAGCACTTTAATGGATTAATAATAATAGCCAGTATAACCAACGCAATACCCAGCCAAAAATGATGAGGCCACAGCAACACTCAGAGAGAGTAACATTGACACTTTAGAAGAGTAAAACTTTAGTTATGCCCAGAGGGGTATTACAGAGGGCAAGGGTCAAAAACAGAGTTTAAAGGGAAGAAGAAAAATAAAAAATACATATTCTTAAATTAAGAGAAAATGTTTCTCCTGCTTTGAGATTTTTACTCTCCACTCTTTTTTTTTTCATTACACTAATAAGCCAAAATAGAGGCACATTATTTTTAACTGGAAAACACAAAACAGAACATATTTTGGTGCTTTATTGCTTGAAGTGGTTGGAAAAGACCACAGCTGTTTTGGAGAAACTTGAAGGGTTTAAGAACGTTCCCACTGATCAGCACCCCATTTCTCATATCTCCCTTTGCTGTAGAATTTAAATGTTTCAACATGGCATTATAAAGAACGTATTTATTTCCTGCAGGTGTTCACATTCGGCTGGAGAGAGGACATTCGGGTGGGTGATCCCATGCACACTAAAAAAGTCTGCTTCGATGCCATCTCCCACAACAGCCCTGTGACCCTGTACGACTGTCACGGCATGAAAGGCAACCAGCTGTGGCGCTACAGAAAGGTACGGCTGAGGGAAGTGTAAGAGCCCGAACTATAAACACATTATCTCTGTAGGTCAGTTTCTCTTTTCTGAACATTTTGTTCTCCCGCTCCATTCTTCTTTGTGTACAAAACAACAAAGCTCCAAACAGAGAGAAAGTGGCAGAGGAAAGTGTCAAAGCCCAAGCTTTAAACACATTATCTCTGTGTGTCAGTTTCTATTTCTGAACTTTTTGTTCTCTTCCTTCCTTCCTGTACAAAACAACAAAGCTCTAAACATAATTGTTATAAAATAAATGAGTTCAAGGGTACTTAATCATTCTACAGAGTTTTGCAATTTTAGACAGAATCTACCCTGAAGCTGATGGATATTCATAGGACCTCATTATGCTGTTGTTATGCATTTAAGCTCAGTTACAGGAGGCCACATTTGTATTTAATGAAGTGTCACAAACAAGCTTGTTTGCCTCAGTAAACCGTTTGAAGCAAAAAGATAAAGACAGCAGAAATACAGAGAGATTTCTACAATAAACACTTCCCCAAAACCCTGCAACTCAGTTAAAACAGAATAAAAAACACAGTCATCTTGTGCATGACAAGAGCGGGTATATTGTTTCTTTCATTTTGTCCAAACGCAATCACAAAATACATATAGGACCAGAATCAGAAGTGCTATCTAACCTGCGATATATCAGCCTGTCTGTAAACATATCTCAGTAGTGCAATCCTAAATTTGCAACCCCTTACTTGAACCCCACTTATTTAGCATGTATAAGCAGTATAAAAACACTTGATACATTGGTTATAACAAACTGTAGTGTGATGTTAAGCTGAATGACTATGCATCACATAATAAACATAATATATAATACTTTTTAAGTATTTTATATTGATATAAAACATGTATGTTACACATGCATATATACATATATTGGGGGCAGCTGTAGCTCAGGAGTTTGAGTCATCCACTAATCCACTCATTTACATGTGGACAGGAAGTAAACTCAAACCACTAACGGTTTGAAAGTGTTCTGGACAAAATCGTTGTATGAATGCAGCCATTTACCATTTGTCAATCATTCATTATCTTTTATGGATGCTTCATAAATGGAAGTTAAGGTTGATGAAAAATACATTAATAAACATTTAAAAGTCCTTATATCTGCTAATAAGTGCATTTTAGTTGGTTATAAACGTGTAATATACTGCTTATAAATGCTAAATGCTCGGATGGGAAATTTTAAAAAGAAAAACAGCCTTATTTCATTCCTTTTTCTTCCTGTTTCTCCCCCCCTCCGTCCTTCCAGGATAAGAGTCTGTATCACCCCGTCAGTAACAGCTGTATCGACTGCAACCCGACTGAGCGGCGAGTCTTCATGAACACGTGCGACCCCTCCTCCCCCAACCAGCAGTGGCTGTTTGAGAGAACCAACGCCACCGTGCTGGAGCACTTCAACCAGGGCACCAACTAATGCCCTGCAGCATCCTCAGAAAGAAAACAGACTCCTGACACATGCAGACGTGGATCTTCTGCTGCTGATGCTGCTGCTGCTGCTGATGCTGTGAAATCGGGTTTTACATTTACTCTAGTTCCCCATTTACCTGGCGCTGAGGTGACAGCTGTTTCTCTTCTTGGGCTGCGCAGTGTGAGGCTGGGTGGGATACCGTGGGGGAAGTTGGTTAAACACATCCATTAGACGAAAGACTGAGTTGAGTTCTGATTGATGGGTGTGTGTTTAAAAGTGACTTTGTGTGTGAAATGCATTTGTTCTGTCACAGCACCGCTGTGGTGGTGGGTCCATCTCACTTCCTGATTTTGCTGTTGATTAGTTATAGGACATTCCTCTCCTCTCTTTTCTCATTTCTGTCTTTTTTTTTAAATTTCTCTGCCTTTATTTATTGCCTTTCTTTCCCTCACTGTTCCCTCTATTCCCCCTCTATGTCTATCTACCTTTATCCTCTGTCTCCATCTCTTTCCCCTCCCTGTCTCTCCCACTCCGCCTCTGCCCGCACGTCCGTCTCTATCTGCCTGCATGACTGCATCTTTGCCCACCTTCTTCATTCTCCCTCTCAAATCCCCTTATGTCTCTCCAGCTCTGACAATGTCCCTGGGGGGGCGGCGGGAGAGGGGGGCTCCTGCTGAGCCAAAGTCATCCTGACACCTGGGTGAAGCCAGGCAGAACCACTCTGAAAATCACCTGGTGAATTGATTCTCCTTTACAACCCTCATCCACCCTCTGTTCCTTCCTTCATCCTCCCCTCGTGTCTCCTTCGCCCCCGCCCTCCATGGCTTGTAGTTTCCCCCGGTTGGCTCTCCCTCTCTCTGTCTGTGGCCGATTTTGGCACAGCCACTTTGAATGTAGCAGGTGGAAGTTAACAGAAAGAAAGTGTAAAGGGAAAGAGATGGCAGTCTTTTTTTTAATGCCCCTTGCTCCTTTTTGCTCTGCACTGTTCTTCCCTCGCTGTATTTATCGATGAGTTGTCTGCAGGTTTGTCACTCTGCCACGTTATTCCTCAGAAGCGAGCGCTGTCGAGCATCAGGGTGTGTGCGGTCCAACTCTTGCTGGCTAAGGGCTTGTTTGTTGTTATGATGGTGCTGGTGGGGGCAGGAGCTGCTGTCACACCTCTCAGACTCTCCCCTCGCTTTCTGTGTGCCCTTTGCCGCTCCCAACCCGACTCCGCCAATCAGTCGCCGGAACGACCTCGTCGCACACGGCCGAGCAGGGGGTCACGTCACGGCGCAAAGCAGCAGGCAGGACCGCAAACCGACTCCTGCCCGCCTGGCTGGATGACTAGCTATGTGACTGGCAGGCCAGCTGATTCACAGCAGGGCCGCCTGATTGGCCGGCTGCCGAGCTGACACATCACTTTAGCGTACAGTGTGAGCAGGAGGGGAGACGAATTGGGGAATTACTCTGGATAGGCTCGCAGAGGTAGCTCTGGGATTGAGACAAATGTGGGGGTTTAAAATGCATAAAGCACTTGTGTAATGATAAACTTGAATGAAATCTTAGTGCCTTGTTGGAAGAGGACAGAAAGTGTGTGTGTGTGTAGGTGTGTGTGTGTGTGTGTGTGTGTGTGGGTGTCTATAATCAGCGTAGGGGACGATTCACTCAATTCAGGAAGTGACTTTTCTTGGAAACTGAGAATCTCCTGAATCTCATTTAGAACTGAACATGAATTGACCTCGACTCTGGTGCAGGACATCGAAGGCATCACCGGCGTTGCGACTCTTCTAACGGCTTTCTCGATGAACACACATGTAACTGCTGGCTGTGAATAGAGCTTTTTTTTTTCCACCATATTTTCCTCCTGCCTTGAAAAGTTAACTATAGCCCTAAGAAGCCCTCTGTTCTATTTGAATCATGACATGATGCTGTTGTGTTCTTTTTCCCACCTATTCAATCCAAAGGAATTTCTATGGGAAAGGGAATTGTTGTTGTTTACCACCTTTTTAAATCCCCTTTGTTTGTTTTTTTTAAAGAAATTTATTTTCATCTTTTGTTTCCATACTGTGTTTCAGCTGATGGTGATTTAGTTTGAAATCCTGCTCGACATGATGTTCTGGGATGTTCTGGTCTGTCGCCTGCACCCTCCTCTAATCCGATTATGTGAAGCAGAACAATGTACAGTGTGTGCCGTTTTAATCATCACTTATAGGTATTGTGCTCTGTTAGATTTTAGTCGGTTGTAGACCAAAACTAAAAAGTCAGATCCTCGACATTAGTCGAGGTACTTTTTAAGCCACAAATCAGACTTGCTCGGTCACATTAGAATTTACATTTGTTGTGCAAGTTAGACCTTTCCAGATGATTATAGTAATAAATAGTATGAAACACAAATATGTAAAAGCAAGAAAGTTGCCAAAAAAACCTGACTTGAAATTGCACATTATATCATTATGAACTTAAACATCCATCTATCGACAGCTAAGACGCTTTAGTCATACATTTTTGTTTGTGAACACAAATCCTTTACAATTAATAGGAGTCCCTAGCTGGAGAGCAGAGTTAGAGCAGTAGCTGTTCTAATGTTTATATTTTTATTATTTCCATCAAAAAGTAGAACAAGTTCTTCAAATAGACAGTTTAAACTTCAAAATCCATACTGGTGAGCATTGAAATTAGTTATTCATCTTTTAAGTCTATTTAAAATACAAATACATTACACTGCTGCTTCACTCCTAAGAGGAATTTTTGGGAAAATCCTTTACTAAAGCAAGTTTAGTAGGTTTATACAGTCGTGGGTACTGGTCAGCAAGATGCCACCTTCACACTGAAAGCAGAACAAGTATTTTCCATGGATTTGGAAACTGGCTCAACCATTATTTTATTTGCTAATTGAAAATCTATGATATCCATTAGATATCTTTTTAGTCAGCTGTCTACTTTTCTTCAGACGTTTTAATTAAAAACCAAAGTTGCAAAGTGTATAAAAAAGGTGATTAACAGTATATGCATAACTTCCCACCCATCATGTATGTCTCTTATCTGACAAATGACAGTCTTACATCTTGTTTTATTTGTTTATTTGTCATCATTTTATTCAACTCTGTGAAAATCCTGACGTTGCAGAGTGTTGAATATAGTTCAGGGTTTCTCTGTGTCTTTTTCCCCCTGACCTTCTGGCTACACGCCTGGACAACTTGTAAATTGTCAGATTGTTAAGAGGTGAGTGTGAATTGTTGCAGCAGAACACTGAGTCACTGTTGTAACCAAGTTTCCAATAGAGAACCAAGCTAAACACCCATCTGACCTTTATACACCCTGATTCCATTCAAGTTTCTTACATTTCTTCTTTGCACCACGATAAGAGGGTTTTAAAATGTTTAAAAGTTCTTTTCAGATCAGTAGTGCAATCTGGGTTTTTCAATCATGCAACTTTATTGTGAAGGACTGCTTGACACAAACACTGTACTTGCTTGTTATGTAGAGAGTTGGATACATAAGGCAACATTCTGGGCTGAACTGAGACACTGGTATTATTTTTCCATTATGATGAAACATGTGCGACATCTGAATTAAACTCACCAAGAACATGCTCAAGGATGCACTAATCAATTTTATTTCATATTAACAATGAATCAAACGGCTACATGTTTCCAGCAGCAGCTGTTATCACCAAATAACATCTCATAAACCCACTGAATACCACCTGCCCAGCACCAAAGAGCAGACCGGCAGAAGCAGCGGTGGAAACAGTGGAACATTCGAGGCGAGGATATAGAGTGAATATTGGAAACACAACACGACTTCAAAGTTTATTGTGGCTAACAATAGCAACATTATAAGGTGATTATGTTGGGTCTGTGTCTGTCAGTTTGTTGGAGAGTTCTTCTGCCCCCAGGTGGCCAAAAAATATCAATTAATGCAGCTTTAAGCGCTATCTCACAATACAAGCTCTAATTCATAAAAAACACTTTTGGCCTTTTTCCCACTTTGGCCACCTCAGTAATTACTTAATATATTTTATAATTTAATTCCACAGCTCTCAGTATCAGGCTTGCGTTCAGTCTATATTTATTTAAGGATCTCCTTTATTCAAAAATATCCTTGTGTTGTGTTTTTGACTACTGAAATTTCAGACCTTGACTTCACTGAATACACTTCCTTAAAAATCTGATATTCAGCCGCACCCCGGGGCAAGAACAGATCCAGTGCATAACAAGCTCAAAAGCCAGTCGCTGTCTTGCAAATGCCACTGGCAAAGACACCTGGAACCTCCAGCGCAGAGTGGGCTTATCAGCACAGAGAGCGAGACGTTGCACTAGCATAGGGAAAGTTCTGACAGCAGACTTGGAGTGTGCAGTTTTTGGATGGAAACCGGACCCTCAAGCTTCCTCCCATTTACTACCTTGTGACAATGTGAACACACTGTAACATTGTAGCAGATATTACATGTTTCACAACCACTAACGCTGTGTCAGCCACTGCCAGTTCGGAGCTAATAAATAATATAAATAAAAGATGCAGACAGACTCCTCATCTGGATATCACTGAGGTTCAGACACAAAGGCTCTCAGTGAGGGGAGAAAGAATGCATCAAGCCCCTTCTCAGAGTTTAGTTTTATGTGGGAAAACCATTTTTACAAGTCTGGTCTGTAAGTCTGAAATTACAGAGGCAGATGTTGACAATGATAATGAACTGCTCTGTGGAACAGATTCAGGGGAACTGAAGCAAACTAGATAATGTCAAAGAAGTGATATGAACCTCTGTGGACACTGCTTTGTTTTACACAATGTCCATCTTCCAAGCATCTATTTACAGGGCAGTTCATTTGAACTGTAGAAAAGAGAAACAAAACAATAGATTTTCGCTGCAAAAATTTTACTTAAATGATTTCTCTGAGTAAAAGCTTTGCCCAAGATGTTGCTAACAGTATCCCTAAAGTTTCTTAATTGAATAAGCTTTTGAAAGTATTTAATTATCAGAGTATATTGTACCTTTCCATTGCACATGTAAAGTTTGTTTTATTACATAAAACTGTAACTTGGGTCGAGTAAAGAGTCTTAATGGTGACAGTTTACATTTGCTTTATTCCAGCTTTTATCCACTGTGGTAAAGTATTAAAACCTCGTATTACTGTGTATCCACTCCTTGATAACCATTTAACCGTGTAAAAAAATACAGTTCAAGCATACAAACACATTTGTTCTTGTATTCACAATGCTCTCCACAGTTTATGGGATAAGGCCTTTGTAAATGTGCTGCCCTTTTTTGTTGTGATAAAAAAAAATACACACATTTTTTTGGTGAATTTTCTTTTTGCCCCATGTTGTTGTGGTCAGACTGAAATCTGTTGAGCAATGTAAAGAAATGTCATTTTATAAAAGCAAAGGTTTTTAATGTCCACGGCCAGCATCGGTCAGTCACACAATGTTGTGTAACGTGTGTGAATTTTGGTGTAGGGAAGTGTAAATTTTGTATCTCATGAAAAATATCCAATATTTTTTTCTACTGACATTGCAACTGTAAAAGTGTATTTAGATATTTAACAAACTGTACAATTAAACTGGAATTGTATGATATTTTTGCTGAAATTGTAAAATAAAAAGGTTTCTATATTTGGATGAAAACCGGTCTGTGGTGATGAATTTAATGCTTACTCTGTGAGCATGTGCCGTCATGTTGGAAGAGCATCAACTAAAAAGCGTCCCTTCTTCCTCTTTTGACTATTTCAAACCCGAACAAGCAGGTATACTGTATGTTTACTGTTTTGCATCTAAAATTGGCCATAAAATTACAGGTACGGTTTGTCATGTCCTTTCAAAGCACTTGTGATTGCTGACTAAATGCTGCCCGACAGCCCTCTATTGATTTCTCTTTCTTTTTCAGTCTTGGCTGAGGTTGAAAAAATCTCAACTGTCCAGGTGCAAGTAAACCTGTCTGAAAAGAACCTGTAGTTCTTCATGTGTTTACACATAAAATGTCAGGAGACGCACGCTCAGCAATTGCAGGGTTAAAAAACAGCAAGGGACAGAAATAAAAATTTGAACTCTCTCTTTTCCCCTTTATATCCTTGTCATTTTTTATTGCTGCCCATTTGGCTTGACAGCAGCCAAAACATTTTTGAGCTGAAATTGCAGAGTGACCAATCACTGTCTAAACACAAACTGAGAACTGAAAATTGTTTGTCAGTGTGTATTTAAATGCCCCAGTCACATGTATTTTGAGCCATTTGAAAAATACCCCATTGAATATTAATTAGTTTTTATTTCACCATGAGGAAACACTGATGTAATGCAAACATACATGCAGAAGCCTCAGTTGTGAAATTATTCAGAAGTGGAATCAAACTTCAGTGTTTGCATGAAATAACCATATTTTTTATTCCACCGTGGAATTTTTTGGGTAAAGATGGTGCTTGATTTGCATACAAGTGTACACAACAAAATTTGAAACACTCAAAAACATGTCCAAAAGAGCAAGTAACACCCCCCCTGAAAATCTTGTTTTTGTAGACTACACATAGTTTAAATTCTCACCAAGTAACAAATTACATTTACTCTTATTGCTGATTTTTTGTGTACTTAAAAATGTACCATTACTTAACTGGTTGTAAAACTGTCTCAGTTTGATACTGATGCCTCTATATGACATAAACAAACAAGACCATCAGCAAGAGGCTAGAATACTGAGGAGAGATCCTCAAATGTGGCCAATCAGAGCAGTTGTACATCAAGTCAAATGCGTTCTGACAACGCCTTATGACACCTAGTTTGTTTCAGATATACTCAACCCTTTGTGTGCCTCACAGTGAAGGCCTTCACAGATGTCACCAAATTTCACAAATCTCATTAATTTGACCAAACGCATGGAGGTTTTTCTCATTTTCCAACTGAGAATTTGCAGCAGCTTTTATAATCTGTGTGAGGCGGCGACCCATCCACAGCGGAGATGGCAGAGCACCAGGTGGACAGAGTGGCTGCTCATTCCAGCCGCGATCGTCTCTTCTAAATAACTTCAGCGTGAACGTCTGCTGCCCAGAGCTTTCTAATTTCCTCCCCTTGTCACTTCTTGTTGTAGGTTTTGTATTACTTTAATCGCTTCTGTGACTGATGGTGCAAAAACACACTTTCCCCAAACGTTAATCCCATAATCATTTCCCCCGGCAACCCGCTAACTCTGATAGCTTTCAGGTTTCAGTGATTTATTCGTGGCTGGAGTGATATTGCTTTTGCAAGTTGCCCCATTTCTCTGAGTCTCCTGGGACGTCACATAATGCTCAACTTATCACAGCGGCTCTGAAAGAAGAAGGAGACTTTGGTTTGGTACACTGTGAGAACCCTTTATAGCCTAGATGTTATTGGAGCTTTCACATAATTACACAGTCACAGTAAAGTGAGAACAGTTTAGCAGTAAAATGCTAATTAAATTGTATTTTTTTGGTTTTTATTTATTGTATTATTATTGAAACTACGGTTTTACATTACTCAGTGTATGAGAACTAAACTGATGTTATCAGCACAGGTTATTTTTCTGCATAATGGTTTTCCCATTCATATTTATTTCCAGTTAATTAGCAAATAATCAGCATTCCCTCAGACTCATGAGCTGTAACTGGGACAGAGATCAGGCTATTACATTAGCACAGTGTTCCACTGAAGATATCCATTAAGTTCCTTTATTGGGCTCAGCCCTATTATAAAAAGAAAAAGGCAATCCAATTGTCTCCCATAATTCACTAATACCCTCCCTCTCTCTCTCTCTCTCGGCCCACAGCTCCCTCCAATTACACAGCAAAATGGAAAGATGTTTCAATGACAGTGTGTTACAGTTTTGGTTGCACACATTTTCCGAGGGCAGGGCGGATTTGACAGATTCAATTGCAGGGCTGCAAGGGGAAACTTGCTTTGCTTTTTATTCAAGATTATTTTTGGCTTTCCTTCCATCATGGGAGAGAACTAAATGGAGAGAGACAGGAAAGTTTAGGGAAGAGAAGAGGAGGAAATGCAGCAAAAGTCCCATGCTGTTGGACTCAAACCAGGATAGTTGAAGGAAATGTGTGGGCATCTTAACAATTTTTCATTACTTTGTTCATCAGATTCACAAGTTTATTCCTATCAGATATGATTTTACTTAAAAATTCATTTTCTGAGATTAAAAGACCAGTGTGTAGGATTTAGTGGCATCAAGCTGTGAAGTTGCAGATTGCAACCAACTAAATATCAGTGTGCAAGAGAAACCAGAGCCAGTGTTTGGTCTGTCCATTCTGCTCTACTGTAGAAACATGGCACTTCAACGTGGCAGACTCTGTAGATGAAAACGGTTTATTCAAAGGTAATTCATTTCCAGGTTATTATACACGAATGAAAACATACCAATACATATTATATTCCATTGCTGCCAATACTTATCTGTTCTGTAAGTTGTGTGCGAGACAGACGACTGAAAAGTGCCTCCTGTGTACAAGCCCTAAAGGTGAAAGTTGAAGTTATTACTTGAAAGTTCCCATCAGCCTTAACTGGAGCTAAATTTTACCATCAGCATGCAAACTACAGCCTCACAGAAGTGCCAGCATGGCTGTAGACCAGTGGTAGGCAAATTACAGCCTATGGGTCAACGAAAGGTTTTTTGTTGTTTGATGTTTGGATAACCTATGAATTACATTTCAATTCTTGTAATGCAGCACAAAGCATGCATTAGCATATGATTTTTTGCAATAGCCGTTTAGGAACATAAGCCCTAACTAAAAAGATGACCATCTCCAGATACAATCCTAAAATAACCCATTTTATAGATCTGATTTATTCTTGGAATAAATAAAACACTACAAAATGAATTACTGGCCCACTGTTGAAACTAATCCCTTACCTGTGCTTTAGGTGGTTACTCGCGTTATAAAATATTTGTTTTTTAATTAAAACAAGCATACTTTTCTACTAATACTGTGTGTATTAGTGTCAGAGCCAAAAAGCAAATGGTAACTTTTGTTGTGCATATTTTCCACATTTTGTGCTGTCAATTTATCTTGTTTACTATGTGTTTGTTTCATTCAAAATGCCAAGGCATGCATGTGAAAACCTACTTGGCAATAAACCTTTCTGATTCTGAAAAGCCAGTCAAACTCATTCATGCCAAGTTCTGAGTTTTTCCCATTAGTATGTTGTCTGCAGAAAATGCTGCTGGAGTGTTTAATTTTTTATGTGCCAACAAAAAGGTGACAAAATGATCAGATCTAACAGCAGAGGGACACTGGGCATTATAACTCTGAATGTAATCTATGAAATGTACCTGCAGAGCTACACAACTCCAGACATTTGTGATTTCAAGCAGACCGCATTGAAACAAATCTGAATCTTTGGTCATGTCCAACTATCATCAAAAGAGCTTTTTGTATTCACTACAGCAAAACATGAAGACAGCCTCAGTGTGAGATTAAATAATCCAAGAGACAACAAGAAAACAACGCAGCAAAGATAATAAAAAGAAAGAAAATACGGATTGAATTATATTGCGTTTGAGGCTCATGCCTTCTCCCTTCTTCTTCGTCTTTTCTCTCAGCTATCAGCCTTCTGCTCCACAGTCTTGTTATCTTGGTCTTGGGTCAGTGAAGGATAATACAACCCCAGTCAGAGAGATAATACATCGCCGACCGAACCTCGCTTTAAAACAAACTAACAAGCTCCACAGACAGACAGGTCGGCCATGAAATTCAAAACGACACCGAGCTCGAGCCGAAGCAACACCGTCCTCATCGATTCATTGTTAGTGAGAGCAGCCTTGGAGAGAAAAAAAAAAGGCACAACATCACTGTTCATGAGAAAGAAGAAAAAACTTTTTTTCTTTTAACTTCAGCCGGGGATTGGTGTTCTTGTCCATGCTCTACCTCTCTGCAGCTCATACACCAGTTAAATTAGAACTGTGATGCTGAAAATGCCTGCTAGTCCACACTGCAGTTTTCCTTTGGTATTCTTCTGTTCCGTTTTCCTCTAAACTGCTGACATCTGTGTCCATATACCCATAAAACATAATGTGTTTTTGGTGCCATTCATGAATGTAACATTAAATATTTCCCCAGTGCAGAACAGTTTTAATAGCCTGCCACAATTATGCTATCCCACAATCCCACAATTTCCCTTGCTCTGTGTTCAAATCCTGGACAGGAATTTGGTTAAATCTGAACTAAGCACAGTGTTGCATGTGAAATGTGTTGCACCTAGAGATGTACCCACAGAGAATTATCACAGAACGCCACAGTTTCTTGACTCTACTGAGTTTTTTGGGGCCATATTCATTTTCAATTCATTGTTTTGGTACACTCTTACTGCTTTCCCTAACCCGGTTTCCAAAAGCAGCAGGCAGCTGTTTAAGTAGAAAAGCTCTGATAAACCTGCTGTATGCTACCTGCTCAGCACCAAACAGGAGACAGAAAAAGTTAGCAGTTAGCTGGTGAACACAGTGGAGCATTTACCAGCTGAAGAGCCACCTATTTCCCCCAATAGCTGGCAGTGAGCAACATTGAGCCAAAAGGAGAGTGAATATTGGACTTGCACTTGCCAGGTGGCCAGAAGAACAACTCCAAATGAATGCTAGTGTTGCTCTGTGTCTGCTGGCTGTGCAACTGTTTGCTAAC